GACATAAAGTAGTTCCTCGGTCCCTTCCATTGTCAGTGTAATATTCTCCATGATCCCAAGTCATCTCGCTTCAAAACCTTATAACGTCACGTAACAAACATCTGGAGTGAAAGAAGGCACTTTGTAGGAAGATGATGAACATTTTTTAAATGAAGAAAATTTATCTGCACCATACTTTCTGGTCTCTTGTTTCCTTTGGGGAGAGACAGACAGACAGACAGACAGACAGACAGAGACAAGCAGAAAGACAATCATAGTCCATGCTGGCCTCAAACTTGTTATGTAGTCAAGAATGACATTGAGCTCATCATGTTGCCTCTGGCTCCAGAGGGTTGAAATTACAGATACATGCAACCGCAACGACACATGTGGTACTGAGGATCAAACTTAGGGCTTCAAGCATGCTAGGTAAGCACTCTACCAACTCCATACCTTCCTTGGTTGAATTTTAAATCCTGTGAAATAGGCATAACTGGTGGTATCATCTATTTTTTTCTAATGAGAACACAAAGACACACATTGACAGAATAGCTTATCCAAGGATGACAAAATTCATTTTGAGAGAGCATGGACTCCATTTCTTCATCTGCCATATAAGAACATTGAGCTAGGTTTAGTCTGAAATCAGACATAATAACACTACAGCTAATTTGCATCATAGCTTCCTCCATGGTTCTATCTACCCCCAGCATTCTGTGGGAATGGAATCTACATGAGTACAAATTCATGAATTACAGGGAAAGTCAAGCCCAGATCCATGTTCTGTGTCTCGTAAACCTAGCTGCTGATTTACCGTGGGAAACATACTTTGAAATCTCAAATTCCCTCTCTACATCCCCCTGATGAGCTCATCTTCCCAGGAGAATAGACTTCTCAGTTCCTCCAGCCCATCATTGCAAATTCAAAGTCTGATTTTTACATACAAGTTCTCCCACCTAGAGTGGGTGACAGTCCCAGTGCAAGTCAGTCCTGCTTCTTCTCTTCAGTGGATCTGAATTTAAAGACATCTATGAGAGGACTTTTGCCATGAACCACATATAAAGGAATAGCCAAATGATGCCAAGTCACTTTGAATATCAAGGGATTTGTGGAGCTACAGACTTAGACTTTCCTAAAATAGCTCTCAATAGAGACCAGTTACAGCATCACATTTACTAGGAATTTGTAGCACAATGATTTATCTTTTTTTTTCCTTTCATTTTCCTATAAAAAAAAAAACTTAAACTTGACAAGAATTTAAGTAGTTAGCAGGCAGATAGTACATCTAGTTAAGGAAAAGCCCCTAGTCATTAGGTGGCCTTTGGCTAATTCCAGCCTTACAGTCACTCCCTTGAAGCAAAGGCTAAGAGGAAAACAAGCCCAACTGACCCTGTGTGCTGGCTGGTTTCATGTCAACTTGATGCAAAGCTAGAGTCATCTGAGGGACCCTCAATTGAGAAAATGCCTCCATAAGACTGGGGTGAATGCAAGCCTGTAGGGCATTTTCTTAATTAGTGATTGATGTGGGAGGGCCCAGCCCATTGTCAGTGGTGCCAACCCTGGGCTGATGGTCCTGAGTTCTATAAGAAAGCAGGCTGAGTAAGCCATGGGAAACAAGCCAGTAAGCAGCTCCCCTCCACGGCCTCTGCATCAGCTTCTGCCTCCAGGTTCCTGCCATGCTTGAATACCTGCCTTCACTGTTTTTGTTGTTTTTTTTTTTTTAATAATGAACTGTGAGTGGAATAAACCTTTTCCTCCCCAAATTGCTTTTGGTCATTATATTTCATCACAGCAATAGTAATCCTAACTAAGACACTCTAGTTCCTATGTCTGATGGTTATTTGCAAATTTCCTGACCACACATACCCAACAGATTCAGGTACCAAAATGACCCACCAAGCCAGCTCACTTCTGCACCTCCACTGATCACCACCAGCTAGACATAGGGACAAAACATTGTGTAAGGGAAGGTAAAACTAGAGAGATCATCATAATTAATACAACTTCTATTTTGCATAACCTGTTCTTTGTAGTACAGTGTGTTCTTCCTTTGGGTCTATCAGGGAAGAAAGAAAAGAACTATGCAAAGGACCTTCCTCATCATGCTAACCAAACACCTTCCTCTTCCCCACACCAAATCAAAACCTTCAAAGCCTACACAAACTCCACCTTGAGTAGTGTTCACATATACGTACTAAGATAGAAATAACTATATAGTGGGTTGAAATAAAATTGTTCACACTTGACTGAAAGGAGAGAGATATGGGTTATTTGGGAAACTTTCCCAATTGTTTATACATGACATTGTACTAGTGACATCTTCTACCACAAGCCAGGTATTAGTTATAACACTTGTTCTAAATCATTGTTTTAAAATACAATAGTTAGCCGGGCGGTGGTGGCGCACGCCTTTAATCCCAGCACTCGGGAGGCAGAGCCAGGCGGATCTCTGTGAGTTCGAGGCCAGCCTGGGCT